AGACACTGAGAGGCCGTTTGAGCCTCTTTTTCCAAAAATACAACATTGAAAGGCTAGCCATCTTTCTTCCAGACAAGAGTGATCCCGAAATATTCCTCTGCTCATCGTGAGTTAAAATTTTTGAGATGCTTTCATTTATGTCCCGGCCTTGAGACCTCTCTTGCATTCGTTGAATGTTCCAAATCTCATAAGCCAGCATCCCTCTTTGAGGTACGTGGGCAATTCAGATACGTGAAAAATAAATAAATAAAAAAAATCTGCTTCGATCCCCAGATCCTACCTCAGGACATCGAAGCCTGAAAGTGGACAGGCACCCCGGGAAGCTTAAGAAAGAGCCAACTTACACGATCCCCTTTTTCCCCTTTGGATCCATAGATTCCTGGAGATCCCCGTTCGCCTTTCCCGCCCTGCAGGGAAAAGAGGCAAAGCTTAAGAAAATGTCAGCCAGAAGAACAGCCTTAGGACAAGCTAAGTAGAATTCCCTCTTGGAGCTGTCCAAAACAGACCCTCCCTCAAGCTGAGTCTCCGCACTGAGCTGTGCCAATTCCATCATCTCTGCCTTTGGTCAATTGTCTTAGGACAGTGATGGTGAATCTTTTAGAGACCGAGTGCCCAAACTGCCACCCCAAACCCACTTATGCATCGTCGGGTGCCGGGTGGGTGTGGCCCATTGGCTGGGTGTGGCCCATTGGCTGGGCGTGGCTGCGGTGGTAACGGCAGACTGGGTGGGACTAAAAAGTTCAATCAATCAATTCCAACTTTGCAACATCTTTTTTTTTCCCCGCGAGAACTTGAAATTGACTCGTTGATTGAACCTTCTTTTTTTCTTTTTGCACACGGCGGCAGAGGCCTAAAGCAAAAAGGTTTTATAAAACCCAGCTGAAGACCTAGGACTGGGGTGATGGCGCGCATGCCCACAGAGAGGGCTCTGCGTGCCGCCTCTGGCACCCGTGCCATAAGTTCGCCACCACTGTCTTAGTATGTCCTTGTGGTCACGTGACCTCACTTCCTTCATCTTTCCTTGGTACCTGAATAGGGAAGTGGGATCATCAGGAAAGAAGAAGAGGAGAATTGGGTAGATATGGTGGAGAAGGAAGGAGCTACACTGGTGGGAGGAAACACCCATCCAATGAGGAGACAATGAGGGCTGCTGCCCTGAAGATTGACTGCACACTTAGCATGGTTAGCAGATGTTCTAACAATGACAGCAACATTGTTTATGGGTACATCAAACAGCATTAGTGACTAGGACACACAATCCACCCCCCCCTCTTGAAATGATTGTAAATACACAAAAGTAAAGTAGTGTTAAATTATGTATGTGTGCCTGTAAGATCTGCAAGATTAGCAATAATGGTGATACAATAGGTTTATTAAAGCCGGAGAAAGCATTTTAGTCTATTTACACTCTGGGGAAACATTATTGATTTTGGAACCAATCCGCAACGATTCTGGAACTGTTTGATGTAATGGAAGTTATATGTTTCGCAAAGAAACAAAATCTAATCAGAGACAATCAGAAAAGAAAATGGAAAATAGTAATAGCCATAGCACTGAGACTTATATATCACTTAATAATAATAATAATAATAATAATAATAATAATAATAATAATAATAATAATAATAATAATAATAATAATAATAAAGTTGGAAGGGACCCTGGAGGTCATCGAGTCCAACCCCCTGCTCAGGCAGGAAACCCTAGACCATTTCAGACAAATGGCTATCCAGTCTCTTCATAAAAACCTCCAGTGTTGGTGCATTCACCACTTCTGGAGGCAGGTTGTTCCACTGGTGAATTGTTCTAACTGTCAGGAAGTTTCTCCTTAGTTCTAGGTTGCTTCTCTCCTTGCTTAGTTTCCATCCATTGCTTCTTGTCCTGCCTTCAGGCGCTTTACAGCCCTCTCTAAGCAATTTACAGAGTCAGCATATTGCCCCCCAAAATCTAGGTCCTCATTTTACGAACTTTGGAAGGATGGAAGGCTGAGTCAACCTTGACCTGGTGATAATCAAATTGCTGCAGTCAGCAGAATTAGCCTGCGATGCTGCATTCTAACCACTGTGCAACCATGGTTAATAGCAGCTTTGGGGATAGTGGTCAGATTTTTGCATGGGACAGAAAAAGCAACTCAGGAGAACGATGAAGCAGCTGAAATGATCAAGAAAAGGGCGAAACATACCTTCAAACCAGGAGGACCCAGGGTAGCCTGCGGGGAAAAAACACACACAAAATGAATGCATCTGGTCGAGATACCCCAAAGCAAACCAACCAGTTGGTCACTATCCTTTTGGAATGACGGTGCCTAGATCTGAATACAATACTCTAAACAAGGTCTGAGCAGGATGGAGTAGATGAGAATGGTTACTTCCCAAAACGTTGACCCTGTGTTTCTCTGAATGCTCCCCCAAATTGTATTTGCCATTTTAGCAGTTGCATGACACTCGTGGCTCATATGAACTTGCAGGGAAATAGGAAATTAATAATAATAATAATAATAATAATAATAATAATAATAATAGTAGTAGTAGTAGTAGTAGTAGTAGTAGTAGTAGTAGTAGTAGTAGTAGTAGTAGAGGGTTTTTTCTGTTCAGTTGTGTCTGCTTCTCAGAGACTGCCTGGCCAGATTCCTTTAGGGTTGGGGTTTTTTTTTGGTGGTGGGGCAAGGATTTTCAGAAATGGCTTGCCAATGCCTACTTCTGAGGGCTAAGAAAGAGTGACTGGGCAAAGGACACCCAGCTGCCTTTGTGCCTAAGACAAACTAGAACTCATGATCTCCCAGTTTTCTAGCCTGATGTTTTAGCCACTACAGTAAACTGGTTGTCTTGCAGGCTAGGACAGGCCAGTTCCAAGAACTGCAGGGTGTCGATAGGACTGATAACAGAAAAAGACAGAGCGGAAGAAAAAAAATATATCTTTTCTTTCATTTCTGGGAAGTTTGAGGTTGGTTGATTGATTTAGCAGAAAATAAGCTTCTGGCAGCTTCTTGCGTTCATTGAGCCCGCGTGAAGGGGACAGTAGTTGTTTGGCTGCAGAATTCCAATTTTGCTGCCAGACCCAGCAAGACAATCTGGCAAAGAGGGGCGTCTGATTCTCTGCTCTAGCATCCATCCCCCCAAGGATACTCCGCACCTCAAAGTCAGCTGTTGGTCTCCGTGTCTTAGATGGAGAGTTTAGAGAGGTATCAGTTGGGATGGTTTATGACAGGGGTAGTCAACCTTGGCTCTTTTATGACTTGTGGACTTCAACTCCCAGAATTCCTGAGCCAGCTGTGCTGGCTCAGGAATTCTGGGAGTTGAAGTCCACGAGTCATAAAAGACCCAAGGTTGACTACCCCTGGTTTAAGACAAAATCCCTTGTTGTTCATCTTGACCTCTTGTGTTACTCAGTCTGACATTTCAGCACAGCTGTCTGGTCCTCTTGCAGTTTCCCCTTTTGAACAAAAATTATCCCCGGGAGAAGGGTGGTTGTGTGGATGCCCTAAGGTGGAGGATTCACAACCCATGGCAGGCGGTCGTGGCAACCAGTGCTAGGCAAGCAAACCACCAGCCAAGGCAGAGGAGAAGACTCAGTGCTGAAAGTGATTCCCTGCTTCGGCTTGGGAGGCTGAAAAGGCACCCCTGGAAAATTGGCTGCTGAGAAGGTGAACGCAGAAGGCCCTGCCAAGTGTTACCTCTTTGGGGTCCCTATTTGTGGGGACGGCGTAGACAGTAGGTCACAGAGGACAGTAACTGCATTCAGCATCACTCAGCATGGAACTGGATGGGAGTCTCACCAACGCATCTGGCAGTTAGGACCAGATGGAGCTTGATTTGGATGAACATGAATGTTCTGGATATGATCATAAAATTACTGCTCTGCACATGTCTGGCGTGCATTCCATATCGTCTCATTTTCCACCAAAAGGTGTCCCGTTGACCTGACAGAACCAAAGAGGAAACTTTTGTAAAGCGAAGAGTAGGTTCCTTGAAGAAGTCAACGAAAAACGGTTTCGACGAAACCTTGTTGGTACCGGACCTCCTAACTCTTAGAGGTATTTGATATCGCCTCATCTCTATCAAGAACTCAATACTCGTATTGGGAGCCTGCCTATCACGGTTGTAACTCATGACATTTGATCGCATGACTAACTTGATTTTATGAGCTTTTATGAGCTTTTTTTTGCAGCAGTCAAAAGCATTAAGCCAATGCCACTGTCATTAAGCAAACCAACAGTTCTCTGTGGGTTTGGTTTTGCCCAAAACTGGAAGTAGAGGCAGGCTTTTGGCAAGACCATTCATAAAATGCAGTGATGTGACCGTGGGATGCTGTAAATGGCCATAAATGCGGTCTGGTTGCTAAGCACCTGAAGGGTGGTCACGTGGCTGAGGTGAGATGAGAGTTGGAAATTTAAATCCGGATCATAAGTACACCCCAGGTAAGTCCATCGGAATTTCATAGAGTCAGAATTTCATATACTTTAAGTTGAGGACTACTGTCCCGAGATGGCTGCCTTAAACTAAGTTATGGGGAAAAGATCAATAAAACACAATCTTCACCCAGAAAACCAGGAACGTACAAGAAAGAAACTCAAAATTGGTATAAAAGGAGAGAAAGAAAAGAAAAGAAGAGAGAGAGAAAATATTATTATTTTCAAGACTCTGCTATTAGTGTCGGTATCAATAAAGACGAGTTCCAGCAGTTCAAGCGGTTTCTGTTTCCTGGTGTGTTTTTTTGCCTCCGCTAAGAAATCACAGCCCATCCATACCGACAAAAAGGCTCAAATATTTTGCAGAGCTACAGTAGCATAACTCTGCCTCTCTTTGCCTGCCCCCCTCCAGAAAAGAAAGAATAAATTAACTGACTAACCTTTGACTGCCCAAAGAAAACCAGGTCCTGAGGCAGCTGCTTTTGCAAATGCTCAAGCTGGCTGCACTGACTCAGCTAGAAATCTCAGGAAAAGGTTTAATTTAACTTTTGAAATGATTCTTTCCCTTGCTTTAAAGAACGCCTGTCAGACTAGGAACGGCAGTGTGATTTTGTGGGATTGAACCAAAATGGTTCTCTTTTCCGGCCACAACTGCCAGCCAGATGTTTGCAGGAGAACCTCTGTGAAAAAGGTACACTTTTTTTCCCTCTGTGGCATGGCGGAAAGAGAAGCCATTTCTACGTTGAATGCCTTAGTAACATCTGGATTGGAGCTTTGCACTTCTCTGCTCTTGGCCGATCTCAAAAGAGCCAAGCAGTGTTGGTCCTGAACCACTTCTGGATGGAGAGACAGTGAAGCTGTAGGAATTCCCAAGCTTACTTTATGCAGAAAGTCAGAAAAGCAGCGAAATGCCTGCAGTGGAAGACTGGATGATAAAATTAACTGAATTTGCAGAAATGGTGAAGGTGGCCAGTTTGATCAGAGCAAAAACAATAAAGACTTTTCTTTCCTCTCAAAGACTGGAAGCTTTATCTGAACTTTTTTGTTGAAAGAAGAGAAGAACAAACAGATGATTTGGCGATTAGGGGATTAAAAATGAGATGAAAAGGCGGCAGAAATATTTTAAGGTGATAAGACCTTGATAGAAGAAGGGTGGAAGGCACAATTGTGTGTTTTATTTGTTTTTCAGTTTGCTATTTCTTATTTTCTATCTTTATTCTTGTTTGTTTTGTATATTTTGTGCCCTCTCTTTCTCTCTCTCTCTCTCTCTCTCTCTCTCTCTCTGTGTGTGTGTGTGTGCGTGCGTGCGTGCGTGCGTGCATGTGTGTCTGTGGGCAAGTTCCAGGAATGTAAATTAGTTTAAAAGTTTTTAAAAAGCTGAAAGAAAATAAAAACGAAAAGCTGTGTCTTTTTGCTGAGAAAAACCATAGAAATGTGTTTATAAAGGAACCAGTAAACTGTATCTTTACCTACATGGAGTTAACTGCGAAAATCCTTTGAAAACTACAATTGGTCCTGAATATAATAAGAAGATTGGTGAGCTTGCAGAATCTATTGGTGAGGATGTATAATATAAATCCAGCGAGGTTATTACCCTGTTCATCTCTATGTTACCAAGAATACTTAAATCTTTGGGGATACAAATATCACAAGGTCACAGTCCTTTAGCGACCATTTGAAGCTACAATGGCATTGAAAACAGTGACTTACAACCGGTCCTCACACGTATAACCGTCGCAGCATCTGCAGTCATACGGTCAAAATTCAGGCAATTGGAAACTGGCATGTATTTACAACAGTTGCAACAACCTGGGTGTCAACGCTGCTAACCTTGGATGTTCTTGCTTTGACAACATCTGGAGATGCAGCCTTTTTCTTTCTTGTGCTTTACTCTTAGAATTAGATGGTGCTGGGGGAGGAGGCGGAATGTGATGGGTGTCAGTTAGACATAATAATATTGCAATAGTGTGTGAATTCAGGACTTTTGAAATAAGAGATGATAAGAAATGGCAGGTTGGAGTAAAGGAGGGAAAGCCTGCATTTCAAACTAATTGGAGAATGTGATTTATGACTATTAATTAGAGGAGGGAATTGTGTTTGATACTATGTGTTGAGGGGAGGGGAATCCAGATTTTGGCTTCGACTATGTATGTGCAGATGCTATGCAACTTGAATAAAGATTCTTTAAGGTAAACAATGACAGATGAAGTGTTTCATCTGTCAGAACCATGACACTGGGGATGTGCATTCACCATTTGCGACTTTCCAGGCCATCTTTTGACAAGCAAAATCAATGGGGGAAGCCAGATTCTCTTCACAGCTAAAGTGATTTGCTTACCAACTAAGGCAAAAAGGTTACAAAATTGGGTGCCACCCACTTAACAACTGCCTTACTTAACAACAGAAATTCTGATCTCAGTTGAGGATGGCTTGTATCTTGGCAGATCCAATTAAGATCAGCAGCTCTTCGCAAGGAAGGGGGAGAATGGGACAATTTTCCATTGCCCACTTGCTGCGGCCATCTTGCCGTGGCGAGTTCGCCATGGCAAGATGGCCGTAGCAAGATGGCCGTGGCTAGTTGGCCACAGTGAACTGTCCTAGACCCAAAATAGGGCATTGCTGGAGACTTTCACAGGATGTGCCATGCGCCGTACATGCAGACGTACTTCCAGAGATTTTGCAAAAGGTGCTTATCTTATCAGATCCCCGTCTGGTTAATTTCACTGGGTTTTCTTAGAGATGGTGATGAGCCCCACCTAAGGGGCTTAGCTGACAATGGACTAGGGTCTAGGACAGTGATG